AGGGGAATAACGAAGAAGTACTTCCAGAAACAAACTGTGAAAGATTAGAGATAACCTTGGCAGTTGGGTGACTAGCATCCATCCCAACCAACTTAGTCTTGTATCAACAAGACTAAGAATCGGGCACACAAAATTGACTCATGGACCGATGATAGCTAAAGGCTTTGTAAGGCATGGCAATAGCTATTAACGGTCGCAGGTGTAGTGGAAAGGTATGCAACATTCTTAATCCAAAAACGTATGAACTTGTCTCCCCCAACTTTTCTTAGTTTCCTGAGGGAGACTAATATTTTTAATATAATTTAATTATGCATAAATATTTTGCAATAATTTTATACATTTAAAGCATAATATTTATGCTCTGATTCTTAATAATATTTACTGTTATTTATGAGACATTTATTATTATTTTTATACCATTTTAAATATTTTGACATTTCATTCCATTATGAAATGACCTTAGCTGTTGATGTGGCAGATAAATTTAAATAATCAATCAATCAGTCAATCCCAGTGATTCACAATGCACAGAATCAAACACCTTGTGGTCGATGTAGGCTGCAAGTAGCTCACAACTAAACTCACAACATATAATATCTCGAAGCGCTAGGGTGTGAACTGTTGTGGACTTGCCAGGAGTAAATCCAGACAGTTGCAGTCTCTGGTGGTGGTCATGGATCGGTTTCAGAAGAATGTTGGTAAAAATCTGGTATACTGAGGAGTGTGATTCCCCTTCCAGAGAGGGATGACCATACTCCTCACCAGGTCCAGGAAATGGACCTAGACTGCCAGATGACAGCCAGGACAATCTGCAAGCTCAGTGTCATAGGTTCATCCCCGGCAGTTCAGCAGGGATATCGCAAATACCTGCAACTTTACCTTAATCTAGAGATCACTTCCCTTGCCTCTGTCACAGTAGGAGGTTCCTTGCTGATGGTTGGGTCAGACACAAAGATTGGGACACCCCGTGTATCTAAACTAATTGCTGGAGGGTCCACCTGAAACAGCTGCTCAAAATACTCAGGCCAACAATTATAAACATGATCTGAGATGATCCATCCATCCACTGAGTGAGGAGAGCTTGGAATTAATTTTTCTCAGGATTTAGTAGGCAAGACAAGTCTTTAATAAGAAATGGCCTTCAACCTTCTCAGCAAAATTCCTTATGAACTATTCCTTGTCCATTCTCAGCAGTGCCCGAGTCCTGCAAACCAATGAATGGTGCAGATCCTAATTGCCATTCAGTTGAGCCATGTGATACACATCTGTTGCCTCCCACAGAGCTACAGGATCCACCAAGCTTTTGAGTACTGTGAATCGATCAGAGATATTCTCCTCCCTCAATCTTTCTAAAAAAAACACCGCTAACAAGGGGTTTGAAGTGGATCTGAAGGTACTGACTAAATATGGACATTACCACAGAACTCGGCACTCCAGTAAACCATATATTTCTGGAAGATTCTCCAGTAAGTGTTAACAGGAATGTGGTCGATCTCCCTGATCACAGTAGTGTATTGCTGTACCATGTCTAGCGATATGAGTTGGAATGTTGATATCAGGCACAAAAATCCATAATCTCAGAGACCTAACAAAGTCCCGAAGAAGGAGGTTGTTTTCGATACCGAGATTAGCTGCAGAGCAATGGGGACTGACTGATATCTTTTAGCCAGCTCGATCACAGCCGGATATTGCATTAAAGTTGCCTAGTAAAATGTGAATGTCTCAGGAACATTTGTCTCCTGCAAATGCGAGAATGCCTGTTTCTCATTTAATTTGTAATCATCGGTAAGAGCAGACACAGCGATCAGAGACACGAAGCCAAAAGCATGCTTCAGTCTCAGTAACCATCGCCTCAGCCCAATTAGTAGGATGGGCATCTCACCTCCGAGAAGGAACCCCCTCAACAGCTTCAGTTCCCTTGATAGAAGGGGTAATCAATTATCCTGCTTTAAAGCATGGATGTTCCAATCTCCTATCTGAATAGCCTGCCTAAGGTTAAACATCGGGCTGTCGCTCTGGGTGGATGCCACCCCTGCTTGAGGAGTGGGGAGAGGCAAACAATTCACCAAAATCCTTTAAATATGAATCAATCTCTCTATTTAAATCAAATAGTCAAATAGTAGTGGAGATATACAAGAAAGTGTGTGCAAAATACATAGTTTCGAGATATCCGCATTTGAATGTCGCCATAGGATCCCATGGCTTTCTCTGTATAACATAAGATGACTACATTGCATCTATACACACTGAAGAGGGATCATTTAGGTCGGTTCATTTACTATAAAAGTAAGAGAACATGAAGCCGCCACCCCATGTCAAGGTGATCCCATATTGTGAAGGTCCCTTCCTCGTATTTACGAATTATTACCGCCTGGGGCTTGTGGCACTTAGTGCTAGTACACACCTGGCTGAAATTTAGTTTTCTTTTTGGCTTTCTCCTATTCATGGAAGTACTGTGTTCTTCTGTTATCTGCTGCTGAATTTTCTGAGATTCTTCCAT